TTTAAAACAAAAATTGTCCTGGTACTTTGTGATCAAATACATCCCATGTGATGAGGGCTAGTTTCAGAAATCTCAAAATACAGAAATTCAAACTTGCCTAACAGAAAAATGAGAGGATTGGGACATTGTCCTGATTATCCTTTACCTGTATCTCCCCCCTTCAGAGCCCTTCTGCCTGCCCTCTGCCTCCCGGAGGTTCTGTGCCTCCAGGAGGCTGACCCCTTCACCTGCAACACCTAGACTCACTTACCCTCCAGGGAGAGGCACCGTAAGGAGGAAAGGTCATTTTCCTGTTGCCCATGACCAGCACTCTCCGGCAAATGCTATGTCCTTTGTGACTACAGCTCCTGCCGGTGGACCCTCCTCTGCCTCCAGCTCACACTGGGTTCCAAGGAACACCATGTCTTCCCCAAACCCCTTCAGGCCCCTGGGCGATACCAGCTTCCTGCTGCCCGTGTTCCCGTCACCCCCTATTGGCTCCTCTGTTCCTGCCCACTGTTCCTTCAACAGTCCCTTTCTCTAATCCTCTATGATTGAACTAATCTTCAAGTGGAATTTTGTTTCCTGTAGGGACCCTGACAGATTGAGAAATGAGTTGGTGTGAAAGCAAAACATTTACTGCCATTTGTGAGCACGTGGTGCATTTCCAAGTCATTCTATTTTTGAAATGTCCCCTTAGCCAGTCTTTCCACCCACTGTCACACTGCCTAAAGCAAGGTACGAGGTGAGGCTGTGGTCCGCGGGGCGCTCGGTGCATCTCTGAGCAAGGACCTTGGGGAGACCAGCCCAGCCCCTCCCCGGTCTCCTGATGCCACCAACCTCCTCCCCCCACCCCCTTCTAAGTGTAACACCTCCTGAAGGACCGTGCAGGACTTTGGGGACCCCGCGAAGCATCCTCATCAGGGACTGAGAGAGGGCAGGGGTGAGTGGCGATGAAGGTGTCAAGCAAAGAGAGGGAGACTGGGAAATGAGAGGGGCTGGCGGGCCGGCAAAGCAAAGCCAGCTGGGATGGGTCCCCCACATGTACCTCCAGCCCCCAGCACCTCCTCCACGCTGCCCCTCCTATGGTAACTGCCACCACAGGAGGGAGGGCTCCTGTTCCGAGGCCACCGCCTCCGGCCTGGGTCTGCCGTCAAAGAGGGCGGCTGAGAGGTTTCTCACGTTTCTTTTAAATGTCTTATTTATTTTGGGGGGGGTGCCTGGGCGGCTCAGTCGGTTGAGCATCCGACTTCAACTCAGTTCATGATCTGGAGGTTCCTGGGTTCGAGCCCCGCGTCGGGCTCTGGGCTGACAGCTTGGAGCCGGCAGCCTGTTTCGGATTCTGTGTCTCCCTCTCTCTCTACCCCTCCCCTGCTCGTGCTCTGTCCCTCTCTGGTCTCTCAAAAATCAATAAATTAAAAAAAACAAAAAAATAAAGAATAAAGAGATGGCAGGCCTGTAACTCAGAGCCAGAGAGAGCCCTTTCTACCACCCCAGTAGGTCTTATTTTCCATCCCCATTGGTATCTTCTGACCCATTCAGAACCATTTCTAAATCGTGTACTCGTATCTGAGGATGGAAAGCGGGTGGGTGGGTCCTGGAGCCCGGGCAGCCAACGTGCCAAGCCTCTCTTGATTACTCGCAGCCAGCCTCACCCGGAGAATCAGGCAACGGAGACTTCCATCATTAGCCACTGATGAAACGAGCTAGTCCGCTGGATGGACGGAGTCTGAACCATCAGGGCTGGGTGTGCAGACTTCGAACTCCCAACACAGAATGCAAAGGCACAAGACATCAGGGTTAATGAACAGCTTTATTTGCCTTCGACAGCATCAATTTCCTTACATTCTCCATTAATTTGCCATTAAAGTGCGGGACATTGTCTTAATCACGGTAACTTTTATTAAAAGATATCAGAACTAGTTTCAGGAATGTGGCGGTCATGAAGATAAACCTCTCTCCTACGATACACAGAATGGAAGCCCCTCGCGTGGAGCTGGTGGGTTGGCCAATCTGCAAACAGATTGTAATTCCCTCTCACCATGAGCACCAAACTGGCTGGGACCGCCACCCATGGGGGGGGGGGGGCGTGGGGGGGGAGAAGTGATGCTACAGAGATCGAGAAACACCCACACGCCCTGCCCTGCCCTGCCCGCCAGCTCCTCTCGGCCCTCACTGGGTGTTTGCTGTTTGAATAGATCCAATCTTAGGAGAAATGGAGGTCTGACCCTCCCTACTGCCTTCCACCCCACCCCACCCTTACTAACAAAAGCCCCAAAAGTCATTACAATGAAAAAGTGGGTTTCCATTGCCCCAACGCTAACAATGTTCAGTAAAAATGAGGATAATAAACACAGAAGCTTGCTTAGTAAACAGGAGCTCTCAGCGTTCAATGCAAAAAAAAAAAAACAAACAAAAAAAAAACCTGAAATCTTAAGGCAAATACTGTTGACTCTGCACATGGGCTGGACGAACTTGGAACTCTTTACCTATCTGTAAAGCGCCGGCCGTGAGCTTAAGGGCGGTTGGCTTTTCAGCGCTTGCTACTGGCAGAGGCCAGAACTTTGCATTATGCTGAGGCTGTCTGTCGGCGTGTTTCTCTTTGGAGTTTATATACAAACACACCCAAGGCTGATGTATTTTTATACATATATGTACACCCACACAGAGACCTGCTACTCCTTCTTGGAAACGACTAGTTCCACCTCGGGAAGCTGGATGCCAACCTTAGTCCCGCTGTCATTGCTAGAAGAAGAGGACAGTCGGGACTTCTTAGAGGCCAGGGACACGCCACTGCCCTGTAACTTGCCTGCCTCGTCATCGCTCCCAGTCACCTCATAATGGCCTTTGCTCTTTGACCCCAATCCACCGAAGGTACCAAATTTCAGCTTTCCGGGTTTCCCTTTGACTTTCCCGCCTTCCAGTGACACTTCCCCACCTTCAAACTCCAAAGTCCCCGTCGGGGTGGAAGGCGCAGACAGCTCCCTTTCGTCACTGAAGGAATTTGAGCGGTGCCGCGGCTTCTTGCTTTTAAACAAAGAGAATTTGCCTTTGGGTGACGATGTTTCAGCCTCTGCTTCTCCTTCCAGAGAACCGAGGCTGGCCTTGGAGCTCTTCAGGTCGCCTTTGGACCCTGAAATGGATGCTTCCGGTGAGCCAGTGACACCACCTTTCCCTTTAGGTTTGGAAAAATTGAACTTGGGCATTTTGATTTTGGACTTTTTAAGTTTTACATCGGACTCTTCCCACTCGCCCTCTCCGGCACCAGCCTGGACAGTGGCCTCCACTTTCGGGAAGTTAATATCCACCCCCACTTCTCTGCCAACCAGCTCCCGGCCAGAGAAGGTGAATTTGGGGATCTTCATTTTGGGGAATGTTACTTTTCCAGATCTGCTTTCCAAGTGGCCTGGAGACCCAGACGCACTCAGCCCAGGACCCTGGAGTCCTTCTACCTTTGGTCCTGAGAAATGAAGTCCCCCGGCAAGCTTAGGCACATCCACGTTGAGAGCGGAGGAGGCCTGGGGTCCTTTCCACTCACCCCCAGAACCTTTGACGCTCATATGCCCTTCACCCAGACTGACAGCCGGGGCGCTGACAGCCCCTGGTACATCCACACCTCCTTTGATTTTCGGGCCCTTCAAGCTGACACCGAAATCTGCCTCAGGAGATGCCATATTAAATGAAGGCCCCTTCACGCTAATGTCAGGAACAGCACCCTGGAAACCTATTCCCGAACCTTTCAGATCGCCTTTGATTTCAGGACCAGAAATGTGCCCCGTTGGGAGTTTCACATTCACACCGGACAGCTCCACATCACATCCAGAGGCCTTAACCCCAGGCATCTGGAGGTTTCCTTCGAGGCCCTGCACGCTGATGCCCGGAAGACCTCCTCCAACAGCGGGGCCTTTCACCTCACCAGTGGCCCCGAGGCTCCCTTTTATTTTTGGTCCTTCCAAGTTCAAGGCCATGTCTGGTGCTGAGATTTGAGGGCCAGAGATCTGAGGCCCTTTCAGGTTCAGGCCTCCGAGGTTCACATCCACACCTGGCCCCTTTAGTTCTCCGGTCACTTGTGGCCCCTTGACACTGATGTCCAAGTCGGACCCTGGTGTGGAGATGCCAAACTGGGGCAGCTTCATTTTGGGAAGTTTAATGCCACTTTCAGGTGCCTCCAAGCTGAGATCAGGGGCACCTACTGATACCTTAGGGCATTTGATGTCACCAGAGACAGCCAAGTCTCCCTGCAGGCTTGGTCCCTTCAGGGTCACGTCTGGCGCGCCAAGGCCAAGGTTTAGCGCTGTGGCATCAATCCCCGGCATTTTCACACCATCTCCTTCCATCCTCACCTTTCCACCGACACCTCTGAGGTCAAGCCCTGGGGCATGCACCTTCACGCTGGGAACAGAGGCATCCAGGTCTCCCTTCAAACTTGGTCCTTTCAAATTCAGGTCAAGGTCAGGTCCAGAGACTTTGGGCATAGAGAGGTTCACTGAAGGCAAGTCTACTTTTGGCCCCTTCAGAGACACATCAGTTCCTTCAAGAGTAACATCAGGTGCACTCAAGCCTCCTTCAAGAGAAGGCAGCTGGGCATGGACCTCAGCTCCTCCGCCTTCCATTTTCACACCAGGGACGCCGATCTTGGGCATTGAAAACTTGGGGAACTTGATTTTCGATTCTGGACCTTGCAGATCTATGTCTGGTCCTTCCAGTCCCACACCGGAGACATCACCCTTTAACTTTGGTCCTTTCAAGTTAACGTTCACATCGGGGGTGGAGACCTGAGGGGCAGAAATGCCGAACGATGGTGCTTTGACTTTAGCATCTGGGCCTTCAATGTTGATGTCCGGTGCATCCAAGTTTGCCTGCACCCTGGGGCCTTTGAAGTCGCCCTCTATTTTGGGGCCGGAAACATCCATACCTGGCACCTTCAACTTCGGAGCCTTCAGCTTGAGGTCAGGACCTTCCACATTAATCCCTGAAGAAATATCCAGATCAGGTGCCTGGATTTCACCCTCTATTTTGGGGCTAGGGAGGGGGGCCTCTGCTTTAAATTTAGGTGATTTAATGTCAAATTCTACATCGGGAAAGTACATCTTTCCAAACATAGGTTTCTTGGTTTTGGGGGATTTCACATCAACTTTAAGTGTGGCATCTGGCCCCACAACATTGACATCTACGTCAGGAGTCTTGAGACTGGCGTCAACTTCACCCCCAGGAACATTCAAATCAAATCCCTGTTTTTTGGCCTTCATTTTAGGACCACTCATGTGAATCTTAGGCATTTTAAACTTACTTTTCTTGCCCTTGCCACCAACACTGATGTCAGGAGTCTCGACGTTCAGTTCTGCCTCGGGAACAGCCACATCCAAGGAAGCTGGCTTGAGGTCAGCTTTGGGACTTTTTGCCCCAAATCCAAACTTGGGTTTCTTAAATTTGGGAATTTTAATATCTGGCCCCTCAACATTGATATCTGGGCTCTCCATGTGTACGTCCAAGCTTGGGGCTTCTAAATCAACTTTGGGCCCTTTGAGGTCCAGTTCACCACCTAATGTGGGACCAGAAACCCCAATTTTGGGTGTCTTGAGATGCAAATCAACATCAGGAACAGTTACTTTAGGGGCAGATATATCCAGCGATGGCATCTTTAAATTTGGGCCGCTAAGCTTGACATCAGGGCCTTCAATATCCACACCTGGACCTTTAAGGTCTACTTCTGGGCCTTTGAAAGTACCTTCAATCTTAGGGACAGACACATCAAAATCTCCTTTGACTTTGGGTCCTTTCAAATCCAAGTCAACATCAGGCATGGAGATTTTGGGAGCTTTGATATTTATCTCTGGCATCTTGAACTTAGGGCCCT